ATTTTTTAAATATATTAATTAATATCATAATACCTTTAAAATTACTTAAAATAAAATTAATCTCATAATATAGAAAAAAACTAATCCAAAAACCTGACCATCATATAGAATACCCTCAGCGAAGGTCAAGCCCAAGGTCACACTTGCTGGTTAAAATCTCAATTACGTCTCTATTTTGATTAAAAGTCTTTTTTTATTCTTTTAACTTAAAAAACTTTTTTTTGATTCATAAAATTTGAAATTTAATTATTTTTTAATCTTCCTATTAAGTTTTGGTATTAAATGACAAAATTTAAAAAAAAACTAAATTTTTTAAATAAGAAGACAAAAAAAAAATCTTTTTATCAAAATAAGAATTTTTAATCAAAGAACAGGTTGCACTTTTTCTATTCCCACTTGGCCACTTGGATGGTGATCAATTAATTAATTAATTAATCATCATTACTCTGCCATATCAATGGTCCCTAACTCTTTCCTCTCGCCGCATCCTTCCACTTTCCCAGGAAAAGTTATATAGGGGCGGAACTATATATAGACGAGAGGGGTGGTGGCCCCCTTAGGATTTGAAATATATATAATTAATTAATTATTATTATAAACAATTTAAATATTATATTTTTAATTATTAAAATACATAAAATAAAAAAATTACAATAATAATGAGTTGTTTTAGGCAGTGGCAAAGTTAGGAATTTTAGTTAGGAGAGGTCGGATTTTTAAATTTCAAAATAATACATTATAATTTTAAAAGTTTATTTTTATATCATAAATTAAAATAATATTTAACGAGTTTTCATATCACGAAATTTATTTATAATAGAGTCTACACTAAATGTCTAAATTATTTCATTTTTAATATAAATAATCAAAGAGTTTGAAATGAATTCATTTTCTATTTTACTGCAAAGTCTTGTTTTTACAATTTTCATGACACAAAATGCTCTTTTTCTTGTTGCCATAGAAACTAAAAGAATAAGTATCAAAGTAATTAACTTGTAAATGTGACTGTAAACCTCTAATTTTCTTATCTCCACAATCCATTAATATAGCATAGAAATATTTGACAAATTCTGAAAACCATAATCACAACTTGTTTCAATCTCATAATATTGAAGTTCTAATCTCAAATGAAGTTTCTCCATCTTTGAAAAATCTTGAGCATAGTATTTTTCTACAAGCTCACAAATATGATCAATATTAAAACTTATGCATCTGTTTTTAGGATCTAAAGCACCACTAAGAGTCAATAGTTTTATTGCATTCTCATTAAACCTACAATTCAATTCTTGTAATTGGGAATTTATTGCAGTATTAAAAATATCTATTCGATAATGATGCTCAACAATAATAATATCAATTATATAATATTTTGCGATAATAAAAAATTAATAAGTTTTTTTACTTAAATATTACTCCCTTCATATTAAAATAATAAATTTTTTGTTTTATCTTCAAATTAAGGATATGGAAACAATTTTTATTTTTACTTATTTTATACTTAAAAAATAACTAAAAATAAATATCTATTTCAATCAGAATATAAATAATTAAAGTTAATAGATAATCATAGGGTTAAAGTAGAAAAAAACTATTCATCTTCCTTAAATTAAGAGAAAAACCACTATTATTTTGGGACAAATTTTAAATTAAAAAACATCTATTATTTTGGAACAGGGAGAGTATACTAATTTTTATTGTTAAAACATATTTATTAACAAGTATAAGACAAATTAAAAAAAAAAAAACTTATAAAACTTGAAAGTTGAAACCCAAAAACAACATTAAAAGAGATAGTATTGTTTTCACATTTTTTTTTATAGTTGGTGGTCCCTCTGTCTTCAAGCTTTCAAGTTTTAATGACAAGAGAGTAGTGCAGTAGTTCTGCAGTGGCGCCAATGAATGGGACGAACGGGTAGAGTCTTTTTTTTTTTCTTTTTTTTTTTTGGAGTTGTTGGGTACTTGAGGTTGAAGGAGATTGGGATTGGGACTAGGCACTAGAGAGACAGGGTAGAAGACACAAGAATCTCTTTTTCTTTTTCCTTTTTAAAGAGTTCTTTAAATAATTGTGGGTATTGAGATGTGTTATTTAACTAATAATAGATAATTAAATTGTTAAAATGAATAATAGATAATATGAATTATATTTGGGCTCCTAAAATAGCCCATTATTATAGAATCTTTTTTATTTTATATGTTTTAACAATTAAAAATACAATATTTAAAATTTTAGTAGTAATAATTAATAAATTAATTATATATATTAATTTCTTTTTCAAATCCCAGGGCCACTACCCCCCTAGTCTACAAGTGACTCCACCACTGGTTTTAGGAATCCAAATATAATCTATATAATCCATTACCCATTTTAACAATTTAATTATTTATTATTATTTAAAACTCACACATCTTAAGCCCCACAATTGAATTATGTAGAAAAAAAAAAAAAGAAGAAAAACAAATTTTGGTGTCCTTAACACCATTTCTCCAATATCGAGCCCCATTGTGCCAGTGCCAATGTCTTTCAACCTCAACCCAACAACTTCAAAAATAGAAAAAAGAGACTTCACTGAGGACCCAACTCAAGCAATTGTTTTTAAGGACAAGATAGAAATTGTTTTCAAATCTTTCCTTTTGAAGATAAAACAAAAAATCTATTATTCTAATATGGAATGAGTAATATTTAAACAATGAAACTTATTGATTTTTTATCATCACAAAAAATTATATAATACTTATTGATTTTTTATCATCACAAAAAATTATATAATTTCCTTTTAGGATTTAGAGTTGTTGAGATTACAAATAAAATTGAATATTATGATAATATT